ATGTTGTATGTATATCTTGAGTTTGTAACGAAAGTAATTTCCCCCTGGGATTATTAAAGTATTTCTGATTTTGATTCTGATCATGGAGCATCTGTCTGTGTGCACAGTTGCACCTAGTGATGTGTAAAAAATTAAATTTTGTGTGTTCCTTTTCTCTTCTATTTATCTCACACACACATATGGCGGTTTGTCTTACTTTGGCATGGTTTTCAGGTGGTTCTCTCTCAGCTCCAGGATCCGTAGTTTGGAGAGTCTTAAAGACAGAAGGCACATAAACCAAAACTTAATTTACTGTTTTAATTGTTACAAAAAATGCAGAAAAAAACACAGGCCCCATTTGTCCATATTTAAACTGCAGAACCAGAGTCAAACTTATTTCCAGAATAAGTCATAATAATGATTCATAATAACTGACCGGTAATGTTTTATGACTCCTCATCATTACAGATGATCACCACCAACATTCAAATGTTACAATTTAAAGGAATTTGTCACTAATGAGCTTCCACATTCATCATAAACTGACCGGAATCAGCCGCCCTCACTCACAGTAACACAATTTGCAAACCGGCAGTAGTTAGAAATGGATACAATAAGCAGGAATAAGTACATTAATGACACAGAGGAATTTATGTATATTTTTTGTGAGATTAAAACATGCCCCAAATATAAAAGATGTCCCAAAGATAAAAGTCCATCAAAGTCTAAAGCCTCAGGCTTATTGAGCATGCTCTGCCTCTGTGAATATTTAAAAACGATTGAATTATGTGCAATACATAGAGTATAAAGGCTGATAAACCTGGATTCAGCCATTATTTTCATAAAGATTCATTACAATCGTTACGAGTCACATCAAATTACAGTCTGTGGTGCCTGAAGTATGTAAAAACATCCCATCCAACAGTCACACACCTGCACACACTAACAATTACATGCATCAGTTTACCTGCCAAAGTTAGCTGGCAGATACTCCAAGAAGGCATCGTTTAAGAAGAGCTGGGTCAGATTCAGGAGCTGCGTAAAACCATCTGGGAGTCTGGAAGAGAGAGAAAGAAACAAAGAAAGAAAATAAGAACATATGCAAAAGAAGAAAAAGAAAGTGTGTGTCCTTGAAGGGCCTCAATAGATTAAAACATGGACAACGTTCCCATAACAACTCCGTAGAAACAGCTAACTGCTGCCTGCAGATGACTCATCTCCCGCATACACACACACACACACACACACAAAGTAAAACAAGCATCTGTCTGCAGTATACTGTGTGGTTAAGTCCAGTTGTGTTTCATGGACATTACACCGCCGACAGGAAAACAGCAATTACTAGAATAACACCTGATGCTCCAGTAGCTTCATATCAGAATGGTAAACAACACCAGCAATTTACTGCAGGAATTCCTATTGTCTACCTATACTGTAGTTGAGCCAATAGGATATATACGGTTGTATGTTAGTATGGAGTCTGTGAGGAGTAATAAACACATGGATTAGAATATGTGAATGCAGAAAACAAACAGCGTGGATCTCTTGACGTTGGGCTGTGAAAGAAAAATCTGCCCGAACAGCTAAAAACATGTCAAATGCATCGAACAATCCATTACATCTTGAACTGAGTCCAGATCCACTCAAACTGGAGGATAAAATTGATGCTATCAACAGAACATGCAACTCTCTGGAATGCAGTTTTTTGTTTTTTAACTTCCAATAGAAAATGGTTCTCAGTGAAAACAATACCATAAACGAGCCAATTTGAAAGTGTTTCAGAGATGTTCATTGTTTGTATGATAGAGTCATTGTTTTCCCTCAGGTTGTTATCCAGAAGCTGTATGCTCAGATAAATTAGCCCGACATTTTTCAGGTTTTTGTTGGTGCAGCTGTGTCGAACTTGCAAAACAAACCTCTGTGCTTTAGATAAACATTAATATTTGCTGCCAACTTCTCTTACGAGAGAGATTTTTTTCAGCAAATGTTCAACTTTAACAGTCACGATATGAGTGAGAGGTATTGCTACAGTGTGTGTGTCAGTGTCTTACTTGGTGATAGGGTTGACACTGGCTTCCACCACAGACAGGCCTTTACAGCATTTTATATTGTCTGGAAACTCCTGGATACCTGTAGGAGGGAGACACAGAGAGGGAAAAGGAAATGTGGTGGCATGCATTAGTTTCTTATTTCAACTTTTTGTTGAGTAAATTCCTATAAAGACAGGGAATTATTATCTACTGACAGTTTTGGAAGTGTTTAGACAGCATCACATTTTGGTTAAATACTTTGTGAAATTATTGTGATATGTGTGACGTTTTTCTTTATTCTCAGCTATTTGAGATCTGCAGGAAAACTCACAAGTGCGTTTGTTTCCTTATCTGCTCAACTCCATATACTGTATCTGGATAGATAGTAATTCTAACTGTAGTTGAGAAGGCCGGTAAGTTTGCAGTCGTTTCAGTTTTGTTAAGGTTTGTTTAAACTCATCTGCGTTATTTTTTTTTTACCGTTTTTACTGATGTCCAGCTCTTTGAGGTTAACCAAGCTGGCGATGGTGGTGGGCAGGTTGGACAGGTCGTTATCGGGCATGCTCAGCTTCTTCAAGGCCTGGCAGTTGAAGAGTTGCTATGGAAACACAGAGGGAAAACAATGAAATATTATAGTCTGTTGGCAAAATCACACAGACCTTTAGAAGTGAGGTACAAAAGGACAGAGCACGAGTAAGTCAGCTGGAGGCATGCACCACTTAATGTTGTGGAAAAGCAGTGCCATTTTAGAGGCATTTTCTATGAATAATGCAGAATTAATCTACATACAGTAGCCCTTAGGGAAAAAACATACGAGAGTGAAAAGTGCCCTTAAATAGGAAAGTACCACAAATGGCAAAACATATAAAAGAGTGAAAGCATATGCATAAAGAGGAAAGTGCTTAGAATATGGGAATGCTATAGTGTGTAAATACAAAAACACTCTCAACACACAAAACCACAGACATGAAGGGAAATGCTGAAAATGGCATGATGGACTAGTTTTTAAGTAAAATTTTAACTCAGTTAAGACAGTGTTTTCTTTAGAGACATAATAAAAATGAATAACTCTTCAATAGATAACCTCACTCTTGTCAGCCTCCTGCCGCTGCCTCTTGGCCAGGTCATTGTTAATGAGAATTGGTTCTCAATAGACTTATGGTTAAATGAAGGTAAAATAAAGGGACAGGGACAGAATTTGGTTCATGTTTGGTGCGTTCTGAGCGGGTGACCTCAATTAAAATATACATCATTATAAAAAATGCTGAGGATTACTTGCCTACCAGTCGACCTGAATCCATTTGGATGAATGGCAAAAAACATTTTCAGCTTTAAAAGAAGTTCAATGGATCATCCAGGAAACTGTTTTGGTTTTGCCATGTTTCCTAACCTCACCTTCTAGTTCATATTAAAGGTGGTGTGAGTCATTCTGGAGAGAAATATAGTTGTTGAGTCTCATTCCCAGGTTTGGCCTTGGGTTGCCAAAGCGTCGGCATCTGAGGACCTGGGAGCGCAAACATTTTCTGTGGTGTTGTGTGGCCAATTTGTTTGTTTCCCATTTACCATAACCCCAAAGCGTTGGTATTTGATGACTTGGGAATGATACTCAAGAATCAACTATCTTTCTCCAAAATGACTCACCCCACCTTTAAGTATGAAGTCACTTAAGAGCGGACAATTGAAAATGAAATCAATTACTTCCACAACCATTTGTAAATTGTAAGTTGCACAGCAGCCAGTATAAAGATGTGGCACCTTAATGTTCCAAGTGTCTCCCAGATATCTTGCTTTTTGATGCTGCCTCTTGTCCAGGTCGTCATTGTAAACAAGAATTGATTCTCAACTGACTTATGTGGTTAAATGAAGGTAGAAATCCACTGAATGTGAACCATGCTTTACACACAACATTATCCTATGTGCAATTTCTGATACGTGATTCTCTCCAAAGCATAAGCTCACTCACATTCATTCAGACACTTTAGAGTTTTACCTAACTTGTACAATGAAAGGGAACCTGGGCATACATTGCAGGAGCACAGAAGGCCAAAGAGCAAAACACTGAAAGGGCTGCTGTGTGCCCATGGGTCAGAGCAGGCCACTACACTTAAAGACACAATCACTTACTCACACACACTTAAGGAGCTCTCCAACTCACTTACATAAAGGCCAATCACTCTGGCAGCCTCAATGGCTCTTATACAGTCTTGGCACACACACGAATACACGCTGTCAGGGCTGAGCAGATTTCTTTTTTTTTGTCAGTTGAATGCAAGTTTGACCTGCCACTTACACAGCCCTATTAGAGTGTCTCCATTCATGCAGGTTATATTTAGAAATCCAATTCAACATTTGTGTCATTTAAACCAGGACAGGATATCAATACAATGAGACAGCCCTCTTATAAACAGCACCTGGAATTCTCCTTCAAATACTGGAAGGGTATTTCGCCTCATCACTGCCCACATGGGGGTTTTCTGAAAGTCCCGGATGCCATCAGGTGGCTGCGACGTGGCCAGGTATTAACCTTCTCCTTTCACACCATGTTTGCTGTTTTCTAGAATGTAATGATGGTTGTCAGTTGCCAGAAAATCAATACTGATGGTCTTGGTCTCAAGACGATTCTAACTTTCATTAGGAATGGCAATGCTGATAAGTCAGTTGAGTTCAGGAAATTTCAGTGACATTGTGCAAAATCCCAAATTTGCAAACTGGGTTTTGATTTCGACAGCAGTCCAAAGTAAAAATATCTCAACTATTGTTGAATGGGCTGACTTGAAATTTTGAATTCACAATTCACAGGGGAGAATCCAAATGACCATAGCATGCTGATTATTATTAGCATTAGCATTAGCATTCAGTTTAAAGCATTGAGTAGACCAACTTATGAACATCAACAGGCTCATTATATCTAAATGTTCGTTTCAGAATAAATCACTCAAAGACACCAAAGGGTCTTATCAAACTAGTATCAAATATGTTTCTGTTTGACATTAGAATTCAGTTTAAAGCAGTTTAAAGTTAAAAGGCTGACAAAATACAATGATGAAAAATAACATGTAGCTAAGTCTGATCTTAGCCGTAAACTGGCAACTTTACAGATGATAAACCCTTTCTGTTTAGGTATCAGCATGGCCTTAGTGCCACCCTCAGGCCAAACTTTAAATTTTGACCCCAAAAAGTAATTTCTTGATTCTGAACCATCAAACACTTGGTTTCTGGTGCTTTACAAGGCCACGGGTGTGGCTCTAGAATTGCTTGAATGTAAATTCCTTTAAATGTACATCACTATTAACCTTGCAAGGCAATTGGACTTGCAAGACCACACAATCAAAAGAACATGCAAGAATCCATCCTGCCAGGCTTCAAGCTATGAGCTTGTGTCCAAATACAGTGGTATCGGACCAGTCAGTGTCCTTTGAGGAACTACTGGCAGGTACGGCATGAGCTATAGTGTGGTTTAACGCTAGGTGTGTGTTTGATGACATGTGGGAGAAGTGACTGTTTGCTCATAGAAAACAATGTTGGCTGCTTAAGAGGTTAGCGTAAATGCTGCTAGCATTAGTTTTCTCAGAACTGGAGAGTATTTCTTCATTGAAAAAAGAGCAAAGAACAGCACTGAAGGTTTTTCTCTATGGAAAATATTTTCCACTCTTTTCCTGACTCGCAATAGTAAGAGTTTGACTACATTATATGTTTTATTGATCTGATTGGTTGAAGTTCGTGGTGGAAGTTTGCTCATGATAGTGGGTGATAAACAGATGGTTCATCCAATCATCTGCTGAGTATTTCTTGAAAGCACCTGGCCTTTTCCAAACAGTCTCCAACCACAACTTCCCAGATTGTTCTGTGAAACAAACCATTTGGCAGAGTCAAGTTGCCTCTCTGTCCAAATAAATGAATTGGCTCACACAAATTTTTTTATTATATTAAAATGTGTCAACTAAGTCACAGTTATAGTCACGTAATCAGTGTGTACAAAAGTGCAAAAGTGCATATTTTCTGTGCTTTCCACCAATGGGTCCAAATGTAAAACAGCTCTTCATTATGTAAGACACACGTCACTGCTCCCTTGAACATTGTGTGGAGTAAACAGTTTATTTTAATCAAAGTGATCAAGGTCATAAGAAAGTGCAACACATATTTGGTTGACTGACTGGCCTTGGTCCATGTTCAGGTACTCAAGAAATGGTAGGAGTTATGTATAGGAAGTTGAGCTTAAGGGTTACAAGTTAAAGTCAATGGAGAAAAGTACCCAGAAGAAAAGGGATTAGCTTCGAAGTTACCTTGGGTAGTTCCTCAATCTGGTTGGCGTCTAGGTAGAGCTCCTCCAGAGTTCTCTCGAAGCTGAAGATCTCCTTGGGGACCTGCTGCAGGCTGCAGTGGGAGTAGTCCAACACTGAGATCACTTCCTCTTCACCACGGAAACAACGGCACGGCACCAGCCGGCCAATCAGCTTCCGCTTAGTGGTCATTTCCAGACACTGCACTGTGTAGACAAAAAGAGGAGAGAACCAAAGACAATTTTAGATTCATTCCAGAGGGTCTGCTGCTTATGGAGATCAATGGGCTCACGATATCTGATTGTTGTTTTCAGGATAAATCACTTGAAGATTCCCCAAAAGGTCTGAAACATCAAACTAGCATCAAATATGTTTCTGCTTCAGAGATTAACCATGGAGCCGACATTAAAATTCATGTGTGGGATTTTCTCTAAAATGTTCTAAAATAAATTTTTTATAACAACCATGTGAGCTGTATTCAGTAATGGTGACTGCTTATTCACTGCGTTTGATGAGTAATGCAATAAAAAAGATGCACAAAGGAACACATTCTCAAAAGCAACACCTACCACAAAAGTTTAAGGGTGTAAAAGATGACAGCGTTCATGTGACTCTGGCAACCATCAGTGTTACATTGACACTTAGATCAACACTATAAGCTCATCAGAAGAGCCACGTCATCTATGAGTTGGCAAACAACACAGTGATAGACTGACGACCTGTCCAAGGTATACGCTGGACTCTTGCCCATTTTGAGCTGGGATTAAGTCCAGCCCTCAACATCCCTGCAGAGGAGGTATAGATAATGGACACAGTGAGAAAAATAACTATGGACAATGCTGGTTTAATGCAGAAATTCTATTCTGTACAGCACCAATGATCAGAGGTGACATACATTAAAAACTGCAACAGGTCTTTATTGACCATCTGTTGCTAACTGGTTATCGTCATTCACCTCTTTCTGTTGGCTACTATCTGTTCAGTGTATCCGTTGTATGTTATACCACAACCAGAGAAAATACTTGCTGGAAAATGTCTATTTAAATGTCAAATTATGGTAAATGTTGTTTTAGGTTATATCGATATGTATTACAATATAATGCATTTTCTAGAAAATCAAATAAGAAACAAATCCAATATTGTGATGTCTTTTTTTGCTTGAAATGCTGCAGCCTTCAAAAATGGTTTAATACACCCAGAGATCTGACATGTGTCTTTTCATGTTATATACTGTAATATCATCCACCCATAGATTCAAACATATGTATTCATTTTTTCCAGTAATCTTCATGGATTTGATGAAACTGCTCAGTTCATTGTTTTGATGAATGATGAACCAGTGTAAAGTGGCATTTTCAAGTATGCAGGTATAAGTCTGTTCACATGCTCACATTTATGATGAAACAGTTATTTATTGCTGTAATTGTCCATAATGGCTGTAAAATATTTCTTTTTTTATGTAGATGGTGGACAAAATCCGCAGTCCTCTTTTTAAAGCAATAGTTGATTTGAAGTTAATATGAGGCTTCAGGAGTCTGAGTTACAGTAATAAAATCAAGTGTGAATCCAAAATTACAGACTTTTTTGGGACAAAATTCACGTTTGTATTACTATCCCTCCACTGCAGCTCAGCAAAGAACCAGGGGGGGAAACAAAAGAGGAAATTTCACACTTAAAAAAAGGCTGCACCTTTGGAAGAAACCCACTTGATTTGTCTCACTCAGACTGCCTATAACTGAACTTTGTAATGGATTTTGTCACTGACTGAGGGCTCTGGATTTTATTCCCGATCTCTCAGCAACCAGAATCCATTGCAAAGTACAGATAGACCTGAAACATGTGAACTTATCCTTTAAGGCAGGGTGATGTAGGACCAACATTATTGTGACAGCTTCAAATAACTGTCTTTTCGCTGCCAGGCAGATGTAAAACCCGGGGCAGATGGGTAACACAGCCGCTCCTCATCAACCATCAGTTACCCAGCTCACAGCAGGCTGAGGCTCAACTCTCGGCACACACACACACACAGAGTCACTCTCTTCAAACAACAAGCCAGAGCCATATAATTAGACTGAATCCTTTGTAATTCTGCGACAACATCACTCCATTACACAACTCCATTTAAAAAGCCAGCAGTTGAATGGCATGAGTAGGCTAACCATGGGTATTAAAATCCTTGAGTGAGAATTTATCATTCAGCTTTATCATTTCAAACCCAAACGCTTACTACACTCAATCTACAGACAAATAAAAATGTTTTAATGCCAGCCCTTTCAAACAGAACAAAGAGTGAATTTTCAGTTATCTGACTGCCACCCTAATTTCCTGTTTGATCTGGATGAGCCACAACCAGCTGTGACGAGGAGAGAAGAACCGGAGGTGATGAGGAGTTAACAGCTGCAGTGGTGTGAGGAGACGGAGACGAACCAAAAAGGGGGGACGAGGAGGAGAAAAGGAGGGAGAGAACCTGAAAATGAGGAGGTGAAAAGAGCCAGAGACAGGGACACCAGGAGGCTCAGAGATAAGACCTGCAGCTTTATCTGTCTATAAACACACACATGTCCAGTTCCACAGTGTGACCAGATGAATCCAGAAGATAGACGGAGTGATCTTGAGCACTGTGAGGACACTGTGTTATCTGCTCTTGTTTGTTGCAAGGCCAGTGAAATCTGATAAAAAAGACCGCAGATCCTCTGGGACTGTTTATCTAAAAGGGTTGGACCATTAAAATCAATACATCCTTATCCACAGCATGCTCAAAGCGGGCGTAATGAGGCGAGCCGGGATTTACTGTTTGTCTACAATATGTGTAAACCCAGCAGGCAGTGCTTTTCATGGTGCTCACACCTTGGACCGCTGGTTTTTGTCCAACCCTTCGTGTTTAAAAGGTAACCCCCGGGTTTGTTTAGCACTGGGAAACAGGTAGGACTTTAACAATGAGGATTACACAGCTCAGATGAATGTAAAAATCTCAAAGCATGTCCTGTGGGGTGGACTGCCAACTCAAAAAACACAATGCAGAAGATGCTGTGGGCAGTTGTTTTAAATGTGGAATTACAGATTCATTGATTCACGCATTTTGGGACTGTGGCAAAGTTTTAAAGATTTGGTTTTATTTAAAACATGGATTATCAGAGGTATTGGTACAAAAAAAACAAACCATTATATATTTACTGCAACCTTTTGATTTGAGGCCATGCCAAGTGAAAGATGCAGCTTACATACTGTATATGGCAACACACTCATGGTCGTCATTAATACCCTAACATAAAGATTACTTTACATTTAGTTGTTATTCTAAGTATATTATTATTATTGTGAAAAAAAATGAAAAGATGACGGTTCTAGCTTTATTTTGTAGGTCTTACATCAACCCTGTCTTTAAGCCTTGTCTTAAAGCCTTAAAAATGACATTTCTATATTAGTAAATTGTTTTCATAATTACGTTGTGGTGACAACGTAATACCTGCCAGGATTATGTTCACAGGCAACGTTTTTTGAAACACTACATTGATGTTGGTGGTTAGGGTGGACAATGGGTGTACACAGTGCAGAACTGTCATACCGGTGTCTGGGCTTCGCTTCCAAACTCCTGCTAGTACTTTGGTTAAGGTTAGGAAAGATTTTGAAATCGTATGTCTCATGTCGCTGCTGACTTTTGAATAATGCTATAGTCACCATGAATTTTGGGGGAAAATAAAATATGTTGTCAGTAGTTCAATATTTTACTGATGTGTTCAGTTCAGTGTTCAGTATCATTTTTGCAACTTGCCAGGTACATTAATTAACAGCATTTCCCTAGTATGTTAGTGGTAAACATAACTCTGTGCATTACGCCCTCAAAATGTATTTACTGTTGCAAATTCGTTGTATATAAATGTAATTTCCAGGAGTCAGGGCTAAAAAAAGTAAAGAGTAAAATTTTGGGTGAAATGAAAACTAGAGATAGAAACTGATACATATCTGTAATTCTTAAGTGAGTGGTACCTCATCACTCCAGATCTGTTCATGAGCATACTGACACAAAACACACTGCACAGTCACTGTATGTGATGAAGTATATTTACAAAATAGGTTTTGGTTTTAAAGTCACAGAGTGCCTCCCACACACAGGGAGAGGGCGAGAGAGAAGAGTAGATCTGGCGAGAATGAAGTTCGAGTGCTTTGACATCAATAACTGTGTCAAAAGCACATAAAAACGGAGTGAAAAGATTGACAGAGAAAAAAACAGGGACTTTTGAGCTGGTGACACTGAAGCCTTATTGACTAACCCCCCACAGTCCTCCCTCCCCTCTCCCCTCTTGATCACAGTAGTTTGTCCCAGGGGAGCAGCTCACCTGATTGGCTGCCTTTCAGGCGCAGGCGACTCGGGTGTGGAGGTGAACGTGTTTCCTGATAGGTGGTTGCTAGGCAATGGATGTTATTATGGGGAGCTGCGTTTGGAGAAAGGACCAGCTGCAATGGATGATTGTGTGTAACTATGTCTATATGTGTGCATGTGTGATACTGTGGGGGGTTGTGTTTATGTATTTGTGTTTACATACATGAGTGTGGTTTATACATAGCTTAGTGTGTTGGTTCCTTACAAAATGAAAATGATTGAACTGAACAATTGCGCATGTATCAGTTAAATAGTGTGTAAGTGTGTGCGTACGTATGTCAGTGTGATAGCCTCCTGCAGGCAGAGCAATGTAATAACTATCATTACCAAACCATGGGCTCAAGCTCTCATTTAAGACTAAAAGGAAATTAAAGGAGGGCCGCTGTCAGAGCCATAGCAATCATAAAATACTGTGTGTGTCTGTGTATGCGTGTGTGGCATGGTGTGCACTGGCAGATGAATACATATATACTTATGCAAACGTGCTTTCAGTTATGAAGGTTTTCTTCAGGCTGTGTAATGAAAATGGAAACCCTCCATACACACACATTGGTATCAGTGTGCAGGCCCCACATAGTGCCTTATTAGGCCTGTTTGTGACTGCCACAGCTTAATTTAGTCACCCTGCTGAGGGTGTTATTCTCTTCATTAGAATTATCAACAGGTGTACTGGGGCCTCACAGATAAAACACTGTCTGATAGCAGCAGTGTTAGTTGCTAGTCTGGGTCTGATTTGTCTTTTTGTGGTTAGTCTCAAACCCTCCACGTTCCCTCAAGCTAGTTAACCAACTTTGCTGTTGATCATGCTGAATTAAATGTG